CCCCCCTTTGGCCCTGGCCAGCCATTATGCCATGGCCTTGCCCCATGCCCCCGCCATCCCTCCACTAGCACTGCCCCTGCCCCTGCCCCCTCCTGCAATGGCCCCTCCTGCTCCTGTCCCTGCCCCTCCTGCTCTGGACCCTCCTGCTCCTGCTGCCCACCTCCCCATTCAGCCTGCCCCAATGCAGCCTGCCCCCCATGTCCAGGTCCGCCCCCGCAGGAGCGGTCGCAGGGGCCACCCCTCCCAGGAGTAGCTCCCCTCCCCCTCCCAGTTCAAGGTCTCCTCCCTGTTACGAGAGGTTACGTGAATAATTAATTTAGAATACCGATCAACCTAATAAAATCATGAAGATGACAACTGCGGACTCCAAATTCCATATCTATCACTGGTTTTCTTAATAAAAAAAAGGGAAATAATTTTAAAGGGTTATGAGTTTGTGATGCATAAATGAATACCAACTCTGAAGATAAAATTTAACCACAGGACTATATTTGACATGCATAAAATCACAATCAAGCAAGGGATAGATTACAAAAGAGTAAACACAACACAAAATACATTAAACACAGTCTAGGTGCAGAGGGCGATTGCGGTGACGCTGGCAACCTCGAACCTTTGGTCCTTCCGGGCCTCAGGAGAGGAACTGCCAGGAGATCCCTCGAAGATGACTGGAATCGGGTACGCTGACTCGAGCCTTCCGCATGAACCACGAATCCTCTTCCTGTTCTTTGGGACAGCTCGAACAGACAATGGTGGCCTAGAATATCCCTAAACCTAACCCTGAACTGAAAGAAAATCCTAGCTACGGCCGACGCGCCTGACGAACAAACTCGACGACGGTACAAACTCGACGACCTAAACCTAAATCTAAACCTAATCCTAATTGGTAGGTACAAGCCTTCCGCTTGACCTGCCCAAACCCTTAACAGACAAGAGTACTCTGCTCTGAACTAGACTGCTCATACATATTTCATATAACAATCATGAACATTCTGCACAACGTCCTCCTCTCTCCCAAACTGTGTTGTTGTGTATTGGGAGGTAAGGGGAGGGGAGGGAGTTGTCCAGGGAAACAGAGGTGACCCTACTCCGGGGCCTGTGAAAACATGTCTGTGAGGGCCTCCCGGATGTGCACCCCATCCTGGTGTGCCTGGCGGCTGGCAGCTGTGTGAGGCTGTTCGTAGGCCTGGCCCTCCACTGCCATCTATGCGGGAAGGAAGACCTCCCTGCTCCGTTCCACAATGTTGTGGAGCACGCAGCACACGACCACTACCTCCGTGGCATTCCGCTCACCCATCTCGAGACAGGTGAGCAAACACCAGAAGCGGACTTTTAATCGCCCAAAGGCGAGCTCCACTTGATTACAGGCCCGGTTGAGGCGGTCATTGAACCGGGCCCGGTTCTGGTCCGGCCGCCCCATGTAGGGCCGCATTAGCCATGTCAGCAGGGGGTAGGCCACGTCCCCGATGACGCAGATGGGCATAGGCACATCCCTGACAGTCGACTCCCGCCGGGGGAAGTAGGTGCCCGCCTCCAGCCTGTGAAACAGTCCAGAGTTGCAGAGGATGCGGGCGTCGTGTGCGCTGCCGGACCAGCTCGCATAAATGTCCAGAAAGCGGCCCCAGTGGTCCACGAGGGCCTGCAGAACAATGGAGCAGTACCCTTTTCTGTTCATGAAATGGGCCGCTCGATGCTCTGGGGCCCAAACAGGGATGTGGGTTGCATCCAGGACTCCCCCACAGTTGGGGAACCCGAGGGCAGCGAAGCCGGCAATGGTAGTGTCCACATCCCGCAGGTGGATCACTCTGGGGAGCAGGATGTCGTTGATGGCATGGACGACCTGCAGAAGGGTGCAGAGACACACAGCGGAACACATCACATAAGGCAGGGGTGGGTGTGCGCTCCCTTGGCCCTCTCCCCGTGATTCCCTCTGTCCTCACGCGCACGCACACACACACACACACACACACACACACACACACC